ATTTGGATTTAAGAATTCATCTTTCACAACAATAGAAAAAGCAGAGCAACTATTAGAGTGCAAAAGTACTTTCATAAAATTTAATAAATTATTGCCAAAAGAAATTATTTCAACAATTAATTCGTTGCCAATCGATAAGATCCGGCGTTATTTGTCACAAAATATGGCCGGCTTTGCATTGAATGACTATTTCTATTTGTTTGCCGGCAATCGTGTCTGTCGTATGAATAACAAGACTCTCAGGTTTGACAACAATTGTTTCAATCAATCAATTTCTCAATGGATTAGTTGTGAGAACAACACAATTAATTCAAAAGCTAACGACAATGAAATTACCAAATACTCAATTATAATAATAATTGCATTAATTATAACGTTTATAATAGCATTGATTTCATACAAATTGTGGACAAAATATTCAAGAGATAAAGAAGACAATGAAATATGTAATCAAATAATCAATTCTTTAACAAATAATGAGTCTAAAGATCAACTAATATGCGATTAAATTACTATAAAACACATTAAAGACTAATTACTCGAAGACATCAATGTCTTTGTCAACGGATCATAAAATTAGACAAATTTCAACATTAAATTAAATAATGATTTCGAAGTCTTTGTCAACGGATCATAAAATTAGACGAATTTCAACATTAAATTAAATAATGATTAAAACCATTAAGTTTATTAGAAATAATTGGTAACATTAAGGCAAAAATTAATGATAACACAATTGTTAAAAAAAATTAACTAGTTTAAATTAAACTTTGTCAATTCCTAAATAATAATCATTTTTAATTTGTTTTTAAAATCAATTAAATAAGTAATTAATTACTTAATTGTTTATTTGAAATGACTTATACTTATGATATTTTACTCATGTTAAAAATATACATTATGTGTAAATGTGTTGCCATTTAATTATTATTAATATTTCAAATATAATAATTGATATTAAATAATTTTCTAACAAATATTGATCACAAAACAATCGTAAAACACGTTTCAACGGCCAAATGCTGTCACAAATGCCAGCAAATGATTGGCAACAAAAACATCACTTCAAGCAACAGACAATTAATATAATCGTATGATTAACTGGAAAATTGATGAACACGTGTCCAAATATTGCTATCAAACGGTTCACTAATTTGAATATAATTTAAATATTGTCTCATAATTATAATTAATGTTGTTTTCTCTCATTAATAGATTTTTCTGTTAAAATCATTTTGACATTCATTTGAATACAAATTTTTTAAAATGTGTTTAATTTTAAGATTAATTGTGGTTTCAATACAACTATTTATTGTATCAAATGTAACGGTCAATTATAATACATTTAAATTAAATTTAATAAATAATTAACTATTTAATCCCAGAATCCATTCTGTTATCCAAACATCACAATTGATTCGGCATTTAATGAGAAATACTGTGATTTGGGATCAGATGTCATCACTTTGTTTGCCGGCAATCGTGTCTGTCGTATGCATAACACGACTCTNTGTTATCCAAACATCACAATTGATTCGGCATTTAATGAGAAATACTGTGATTTGGGATCAGATGTCATCACTTTGTTTGCAGACAACACTGTCTATCAATTGACTGTCAATACAACGGATCCCATAAATCCTGTTTTCAGATACAATAGATCCCAAACATTAACCGAGTGGTCAAATGGGGGTAATATTGTTGGTCCAATAAATTGCGTGTATTATTACAAAAAATTTATCGAAATTATATTAATGAATGTAATAAATATATAACCAATTTAAATATAACTTAATTTTCAGTATTATTTATAGAAAATTATGAGTAAAGTTTGGGGTTTGTGGGCTAAGAAGAAGTCAATATTTGAAACATATACAGATCTTTTTCCAGTTTCCCTAAAGTTAGTCGAATGCAAACAAAAAAATTAAAAATTTATTCAACGATTGCCAAAAGTAATTATTTTAAAAGACAATTCATTGACAATCGATGAGATCCGGAGTTATTTATCACAAACAACGGCCAACTTTGCATTCAAAGGCTATATCTATTTGTTTGCCGGCAATCGTCTGTCGTGTGAATTACAGGACTCGTCGTTTTGACGACAACTGTTTGACTCAAACCATCGCTCAATGGATGCGTTGCGATGAAGACATCACAACATTTGATACGAAAGTTGTCATAATTATAGCGTTAGTGATATTAGTGGCCATTTGTTTGATTATTAGAGCAATGATTGTAATTATAATGACAAATATCTGTAAAACTATTTTGCAATTAATCAATACTTGTGACACCAAATCGCTGAATATATCGATGAATGCATTGAACACAATGTCATCCATATCTTTACCGCCGATGAATGGCAACAGACCTACGGTTTCACTACTAAAGAGAAAATCAATTTAAAGTATTTGAAAAATTGTAAAAATAGCATATTTTAATGTAAAATTAATAAATAATTTTTCAAAATTTACTTATATTTACAAACATTTTACTCATAATATGAGTTAAACATGTGTAAATGTGTTGCCATTGAATTAATGTTAGCATTGCTAACAAAATAGTAATTTAATTTGTTATTTATTTATTTGTGACAAAAATCCATTTGAAGACACGTATCAACGAATCCGACGGTTGAATACTATCACATAATTTGGTTTTATTTAATATTAATATAATTTCAAACAATTATTGTCGCCTTAACTGAACATTTTGTAAAAGAGATTTTGTAAATATTTGTACACAAAATCTAAACACAAATGCATTGCTTTTTTGCAATTAATTGTGATTTTCATACAACTGTTAATTGTATTGAATGCAAAGGTAAGTGATTTTGTATTTCATTTTATTAAAATTAATAAATGCAATAAATATTATTTCCAGAATCCATTGTGTGATCCAAACATTACAATTGATTCGGCATTTGTGGACAAATACTGTGATTTGGGATCAGATGTCATCACTTTGTTTGCAGACAACACTGTCTATCAATTGACTGTCAATACAACGGATCCCATAAATCCTGTCTTCAGATACAAGAGATCCCAACCATTAACTGAGTGGTCAAATGGGGGTAATATTGTTGGTCCAATAAATTGCGTGTATTATTACAATAGATTTACTAAAATTACATTAATTAATGTAATAATTATATAAATAATTTAAATATACTTTACATTAATTTTCAGTATAATTTATAGATAAATAAGAATACAGTTTGGAATATATGGGCAGAGAATAGGTCGATACGTGAATCTATGAATACATATTTTACATCAATAGAAGACACACCAATTCAGTGCAATATTTATTACATAAAATTTAATAAGTTATTGCAAAAACATATTATTTCAACAATCAATTCGTTTCCAAACTATGATATCGAGAGTTATTTGTCTCAAACGACGGCCGGCTTTGCATTCAATGACTCTTTCTATTTGTTTGCCGGCAATCGTGTCTGTCGTCTCAATTATGACGACAGGCCTCTTAAGTATGCCGACAACTGTAGGACTCAAACCATCCCTCAATGGATTGGTTGCGATGAAGACACCAATAAATACATGATTATAACCACTAATTCGCGCTAGGGCCATTGTAGGGCCACTTTTGTATAGTGAGGTTATACTTTAGTTATAGCATGACTAATGCTATCAAATATGAATGTGTCTATAAATCNGCCACTTTTGTATAGTGAGGTTATACTTTAGTTATAGCATGAGTAATGCTATCAAATATGAATGTGTCTATAAATCGCTATATTTATAACTCATACAGTACTGACTATTTACTATTACATTTCAACATGAGAATCCCTGATTATAACTATAGTTGTGATTGTGATTACAATAGCAGTAATAATAGCATTGATTTCATACAAATTGTGGACAAAATATTCTTTGAGAGACAAGGAATACAATGAAATATGTAATCAAATAATCAATTCTTTAGCACATAATCAGTAAATGAGTCGAAAGATCAACGAATCGACGATAATATTAACAGAAAATACATTAAAGACTAATCACTCGAAGACATTGATGTCTTTGTCAACGGATCATAAGATTAGTCGAATTAAAACATTGGATTAAATAATGATTAAAATAAAAATAATATGTAACATTAGTGTAAAAATTAATAATTAAACAATTGTTCTAAAAGTATATAGATTTAATTAAATTTTTTTAATTTTTAAATAATCACGCCCAATTTGTTTTTGAAATCAATTAAATAAGCAATTAATTACTGAATGGATTATTTGTAATGACTTATAATTATAATAATTTACTAATGTAAAAAGTATACATTGGGTGTAAATGTGTTGCCATTGAATTAACGTTAGTATTGCTAACAAAATAAAAGTTAAATATGTTTTTCATTTATCCGATAAAAATATTAAACAAAAATACATATCAAAACACAAATCAACTAATTTTTCGGTTATCTATTATCTAATAATTCGGTAAACGGTTGGACACAAAGACCCAAACAATACAAACGTGTCATTTACCACAACATTGAAGACCACGTGAAGTGTGGATATTGTCACCCAAACTGTTCCACTCGAACAAAACATTGAGTTTAATTTAATTGTAATATTATTTTATTAAGATTATTGTCTCAATAGTTAGATACATTTTGTATGTAATATAACTGAAGAGTTTTTGGAAATATTTATACACAAAATCTAAACACAAATGCATTTCATTTTGCAATTAATTGTGGTTTTAATACAACTGTTAATTGTATTGAACGCAAAGGTAAGTGATTTTGAATATTATTTTATTAAAATTTAAAAATACAATAATATTTAATCCCAGAATCCATTGTGTGATCCAAACATCACAATTGATTCGGCATTTGTGGACAAAAACACTGATTTGGGATCAGATGTCATCACTTTGTTTGCGGACAACACTGTCTATCAATTGGCTGTCAATACAAGGGATCCCATAAATCCTATCTTTAGGTACAAAAGATTTCAAGCATTAACGAGTGGTCAAATGGGGGTAATATTAGTGGTCCAATAAATATCGTATTTAATTGCAAGAACTTCTCACAAATTGCATTATATAACGTAATTACTATATAAATAATGTGAATATTTATTAATTACAAATTTTAATTATAGATGAAGAACGTAACAACTTGGTTTATGTGGGCCTATAATAAATCTATATTTGAAATATCTCACCCGGAGTTACCAAGTGGTGTAGAAATATATGGGCTTCACAAACCAACGTTACAATTGTGTGTTACAACACATTTTATAAATTCTATCGAGTTGTAAACAACTTAACCATGGACAAAACAAATAGTAATTTGTCGCAAACGACGGCCGGCTTTGCATTCAATGACTATTTCTATTTGTTTGCCGGCAATCGTGTCTGTCGTATGCATAACACGACTCTCAGGTTTGACGACAACTGTTTCAATCAATCCATCGCTCAATGGATTGGATGTGAAGACTATAATAAATTCATAATTATAGCCATAGTTGTAATTGTGATTACAATGGCATTCATTATAGTATTCATTATAGCATTGATTTTATACAAATTGTAAACAAAATATTTTTTTGAGAGACAAAGCAGACAACGACTCGACGATAAAATTAACAGAAAATACATTAAAAACTAATCACTCGAAGACATCGATGTCTTTATATAAAAAATCAACGGATAATAAGATTAGACGGAAGTCAACGTTGGATTAAATAATGATTGAAATTAAAACAATTAAATTTATTATGAATAATAAGTAACATCAATGAAAATTTAATAATTAAATAAATTGTTCAAAAAGTATCTTCATTAGATTAAATTTTGTAATTTCCAAAATTATAATCATGTGCAATTTATTTTTGAAACAATTAAATATACAATGCATTACTGAATCATTTATTTGCAATGAATTACAATTATAATGTTGTACTCATATAAAAATATACAGTACATTAGGTGTAAATGTGTTGCCATTGAATTAATGTTATAATTGCTAACAAAATAGTAATTTGTTTTTCATTTACTTGGGGTAAAAATACATCGTATGTCATGTAATGTAAGAAAAATCAGCAATTTATATGTTGCGATTAATGTAAAATATTTGAATTAAATACTTGTACACAAAATCTAAACACAAATGTATTTCATTTTGCAATTAATTGTGGTTTTAATACAACTGTTAATTGTATTGAATGCAAAGGTAAGTGTTTTTGTATATTATTTATTTTATTAAAATTAAAAAATGCAATAAATATTAATCCCAGAATCCATTGTGTGATCCAAACATCACAATTGATTCGGCATTTGTGGACAAATACTGTGATTTGGGATCAGATGTCATCACTTTGTTTGCAGACAACACTGTCTATCAATTGACTGTCGAAACCACGGATCCAATGAAACCTAACCTCAAATACAAAAGATCCCAATCATTGAAAGAGTGGTCAAACTATGGATCCATATCTCCGCCCATCGATGTTGTGTATTACGAATTTAACAACGGATATGTCATTGCATTGCTAAACGTAAGTCTGTATTAAATTAAATGTTTAATCACTTAAAAACGTATTCAAAACAGAAACAAATGGACAACCGATTGCTTCTACGGGCCGTTAATAAGACATTTATGAACAGCATTTCATATCTACACAATTTTGAGAAAACAATTATTGTTGCTTTTCAAAATCTGGTTAAACTACCATTTTATTGGCGCTCAACAATATTGTCTACTAACTCGACCGAGTTTTATATTACTTTAAATTATATCGACAATGGCAGTTTAGAGTTTCCTAAATCTATGTTGAAATTGAAGGATTGGTTATATAAAGTTCGTAATAAGCTGACCGTTGATGAGATCGAGGGTTATTTGTCACAAACGACGGCCGGCTTTGCATTCAATGACTATTTCTATTTGTTTGCCGGCAATCGTGTCTGTCGTATGCATAACACGACTCTCAGGTTTGACGACAACTGTTTCACTTAAACCATCGCTCAATGGATTGGTTGCGATAAAGACATCACAACATTTGATTCAATGGTTGAAATAATTATAGATTTTGTGATATTTTTGGCCATTTGTTTGATTATAAGAGCAATGATTATAATTTTAATGTCAAATATGTGTCAAACAGTTCTGCAATTAACCAATACTTCTGACACCGAATCGGTGTATATATCGATGAATGCATTGAACACAATGTCATCCATATCTTTACCGCCGATGAATGGGAACAGACCTACGGTTTCACAACTAAAGAGGGCTTCGATTTAATTAATTTCTAAATATGTATTACTAATCCATTTTTAATGTAAAATCAATGAATAACTTATTAACATTTACTAATAATTATAAATATTTACTCACAAGTGATAAAACTTTAATGCTTAAAGTTTACATAGTGTATATGTGTGACCATTTAGAGTACTGCTAATAAAACAATTGTTTAATTTGTTTTTTATTTATTTGTAACAAAATATTTAAAACAAAGAAATCCGAAAACACGTGTTAACGGATCCGAGGGTTAATCAGTGTCTCAAATACAGGCAAAACATTGGTAACAAAGACATCACTTCCAGAGACAAACAATACAAACGTGTGATTTACAGGATATTTGATGAATACGTTTGCGACGATTGTCACCCAAAAGGTTCCCTGACTTATATCTTACAAGGAATATTCTCGAAATGAAACCACGATATCTTAACGAACTGTCTTTATTCCGGTAAAGTAGAGCCTACAAAATAATTTAATCGCAATATTTTTTGCTGTAACTCATGCGGGACGGTGTGGGAGGCGTTTGAACACTTGAGATGCATAGTGTTAATGCATAGCATGTGCCCCTGCAAGTGTGCATTCGCTCTGAACACCCTATGCATTAACACTATACATCTCAAGTGTTCAAACGCCTCCCACACCGCCCCGCATGAGTTACAGCAAAAAATATTGCGATTAAATTATTTTGTAGGCTCTACTTTACCGGAATAAAGACAATTCGTTAAGATATCGTGGTTTCATTTCGAGAATATTCCTTGTTAAGATGACTGTAATTAAATTGTTTTATTTTTAGTGACCATTATTTTTGTCTTCTATTATAAGCGAATTACATATTTTTGAAAACATTTCTGCAATCATTTGAATACAATTTCTAAACAACAATGCATTTAATTTTGAAATTAATTGTGGGTTTAATACATGTGTTGGTTGTATTGAATGTAACGGTCAGTGATTGTGTATATAATTATTTTGTACATATTTATATATTATTTATATGCTTTATTTCATTGCAGAATTATTTGAATGGTCAATTTGTTTATAAATATGATGATGAATTTAGTTTTGAACCAAACCAACCAATCAAATCAGATAAAAAATCAAATATTACTATTAATGAATATCCAAATTATGACAGCGATAATCGCATGATTATGTTAATAGTTGGGATTGTTATTGGGACTATAATTACAGTTATTATTGCATTGATTTCATACAAATTGTGGACAAAATATTTAAGAAATAAAGAAAACAATGAAATATGTAATCAAATAATAAACTCATTGACAGATAATTAGCCAACAAGTAGAGTGACCAAACCGTCTTTCCCTGGAAGATTTGTCCTTCTTTTGGGCTCTCAGTCCTTCCGACTTCCGAGGGGTCGGGAAGACTATACTTTGTCCTTCTTTTGCATATAAGAAATTTAATTCAAAATGTAACAAATTTCATTAGATTAAACATATTCTATAAGAATTAAAAATTTTCATTAACAATTATCAATAATTGTTATAAAGATATATGATAGCCTAATATATTGTTAGTAATAAAAAGTTTACTGTTAGTTAAAAGAAGGACGCTGTAAGGACTGTGTTTATTTTTAGAGCTAATGAAATCGTAATTTTGTGAAAAGAATGGTATAATGAAACTACTAACATTTAAAAATATGTATAACCTAGCTCATAATTTAACAGTTGTTATTTTTACTAAACAATATTTATTTATATTTAAATTAAAAGATATGCAAATTCTAACTTCATCATTTGTTCAAAAGTAAAAAATTTTAACCATAGTATCGGCGCTATTCAGTGCATTCAAATATTGAAATATTTAATGTAAAATATTAGTTTATGGTTAAAATTCTCGCATTTTGAAATTAAATTATTTAATTTACTTTAGAAAGACTTTATTAACAAAATCCAATAAAATACTGTAAACTATCAATGAAATTAATGTAAATTTTTTATCGTCCTTCCCGCGTCCTTCTTTTGTATCTTAATTTTGACCACTTGTTCTTCTTTGGATCAAAATTATTTGGTCACCCTACCAACAAGACGTCGATTATAAGTATTTCAATGGTATTCACGGATAATAAAGTATATTAAGAAATATATGTTTATACAAATCAATCACGAAAAATAAACAATCAATTTAATTGTCAAAAATAATAAAATAAAACTACTTAATAAATAAATATCAGTTTTAAATGTAAATGGTTTCCATTTAATTGTTCACAACTCATTAAAAATAGACCATAATTATAAATCGCTTAATTATCTTTGTGTACCATAAAAATTGCAAAATAAATTAATTGTTTTGTTTATGCATGTATGGCATTGAAAGGTAGTTATACAATAAATTAATGTTAGTAAATACTATTTAATGCCAGTCTTATTATATACCTAAATATACTTCGTACAAGTATTAATTTACGTATATGAATTAATTACAATTTGCATTAATTAACAAAGTTGCATGCCTAATTTTGATCTAACAAACAATTACACAAATATCATAATGTTTAATATAACAAAGAAGGTCAAATATAAATTAATTAATAATAGATATAAAATAATTTTCCACAGTGGCTAAAATAAAGTTTTACAACTTTACAACATTTCTTAATATATAAAAATAAAATTGGTGCTAATTGTTACCAGTTTTATTAATTGCTTAAACAATTTAATATGTATAATTATGACAAAAATGTTTTACAAAACAATACTATTATCAAAACTATATCATTGAATAATTGGATTATTTTGTGTCTTATATTTAATATTTGTAAATTGTTTTCATTATTAATTCTAGATTTGGATTACAAAACGAGATTAATTTTATTTGATTTTTCCTTATTTATTGGTGGCATTCAATCATTTACTTTAATGATATTCATTGTATCATTTTGTTGGGCACTAGTATTGCGAGTATTGTTTTACACGGAATTTATGGCAAATCACAGGAATTATTGGACAAAACTATTGGATGTAATAAATGGTAGATTAAGTGCTCGTGTATTACATATGAATAGTAAACATAACTACATAATTAAGAAATTACAAACAAGGTGGAAATTATTAATAATAATTATCTATTTAGGAAGCGTTCTATTTGGTAAGTGAACTAGTTGATTTCAATAATATAAATTTATAACAATTTAATAAATATTTATATATTTTCAGTCATTATCTTTGCCGTAATTTTCACAATGATTTGCATAAAATACTATTCATTGAAACAATTCATACAAAGCATTATATTCTTAGCCACACTTTCTATTGGAGTATATTATACAATATACGATTGTTTTGCTAATAATTTAAAATTTTATTTTATTTGCTATTATTTTATATTGAGATTAAAATCTCTGAAACTATATATAAATCGTTTTGAGAATAATAGACTGTTTATTAAAAATTTAAGTAAAAAATATAATCATATATTTCGTGAACATAACATTATTTGCTATCAAATAGAAATGTTTAACAAATTTTGGAAAATATATTATTTCTTTCTAATATTTTTAAACATGATTTTAAATTTATTAATGTTGACAACTATTATGTTTACCGAATTGGAAATATTTACATTCATATTCTTTGTGTATTCATTTATATCCACCTGGGTGTTTATATTTTTCATCTCCTATTGTGCGTCAATGGTATCAAAATCAGTGCATTTATCACATAATAGTGTGATTTCAATGCAATTCTCGATTAGATATAAAAGTGATGTTAAGTTAAAACTAATGGCAT